AGTTAGGAGGGGGAAAAGTGACATGTCCCTAGTGTGTGTGACATGGGGGGGGGCCATCGTCCTTTGTTATGCTTATCTTCTCAACCTCAACAGTGTATTTCTCTCCAATTCAGGAGACCTGACTCTCTGGTTTTGTTCTGTTTTTTCCTTCTGTACGGCTGCTCCTACGCCAGCTTTAGGCAGCTAAGCCTTCAGGCTGGAATTTGAAGCACTCACCCAAGTGGTGCTTGGGCCCAGGGTGGGAACCTGTGTATGGGTGGGTTCTTGGAAATGAAGATTTGCCTGAGGAAGGACGATTTGGGTTCTGAATTGCTAGACAGGTAACTAGTACTCTTGGAGACGTTGGAGGCAAGTGTTGGTACCCTGGAGTAGACCCAGGGGAGCTTGAAAGTGCCCTGCTTCCTGCATCAGGTAGCCAGCCTTTTTAGCACTGTCCTAATAATACTGACATACTGAGTGTTTGGCATATAGGAGTGTGAGACTGAAGGCAGGATGAGGGCGCTCATAGGTTGCAGGAAGAGCCAAGCAGGGAGGTTTGCTGGACCTCCCACGGCTATCTGTTGCACCCACAGCTCCTGCTCTAGGATTTCGGTTCTGCCATTTCCTGTCAGTTTGCTTGATGGTGCTTATTCTTATCTAGAACTCAATTCAGCAGGAAAGAAGGGTGCCTGGAGTTTGGGGTTTGAGCACCTTTCTACCTGGGTTACCTGCACTGAGAGGAATGTCCTATTAATGGGGAGTTTGTCTAGGCTTGAGCTGTAACATTTTAGCCTTTTTTGTGTGTGTGTGTGTGCCTCTGCTTTACTGAGCCCCAAGTGTTTGCTACCTGCTTGGGGACTGGGGGGAGCATGTGTGGATACAAGTATGAATCCTCTGGCCTCTTTTCTAAAAATGTATGTGCAGTAGAGGCCAACAGCTCTTTCTCTTCTTTTACTGCCCCCCCCCATATGTATGCATGTGTATATGAACACAGGTAGCCTGGTAGAATGCAAAGAGCTTTGGACTGGCAGTCAGAGTCAGAAAACATGGGTTCTAGTCTTCACTCTACCACTAATTCAGCATGTGATTTTGGAGAAATCACATTTCTTTCCCATTCGTAAAATGAGGGCATTGGTCTAGGCTCCTCTAAGTTTTTTCACCACCCCAGCAGGAGCCAGGGCTTTGGGGTGGAGAAGACTGTATGGGAGGGCATTGGGGAGAGGATTCTCCGTAGCCACTCTTTGGGCAGGACGCAGCAAGCTCCAACTTGGCAGGACAGAGCCTTCCCCAGTTTTATTATCTTTCTCTGACTTCCCTCCTCCTCCCTAAAACCTTCCATTATCAGCCACGATAGTTGGACATCTCTGCCCTCTCAGCCCTGGGGCTTCCTCCCCTGCCTCTTCCTGTACCAGGCAGATTTTTGATAGAGGACCCAAGGAGCCTTCTAGGTGAATGATGGAGGTTCTTGCTCCCTTTTCGTTGCAGTGTCTGTCTCAGGCCCCGTAAACTAAGAGAACAGACATTAAGGCCAAGACCTTTAAATCCTGCCAGAATCAGAGCTGAGGTGGGGTCAGTCTTAGATGTGAAATCTTAATGATGGCACCTTTGAATAACATTTTCATTTGAAAAACAGTTTAATTTTCCATATTGGTCTTGTGAGGGAGCTAGGGCAAGAGTTCATATTCCTGCTTTACAGATACGAAAGCATGTATAGAAAGGTAAAATCCTATAGCCAGTAAGTAGTGGAGCTAGAACATGAACCCAGGTCTTCTGACTTCAGGTCCTGTGTGATTTCCAGTAGTTTCAGACTGTGTGTCCTACGGTACATGTCTGGGGGGCAAAGGGTTAATGTGGGTATAGGGAGAGTTTGGGGTCAACTGTTTTGGGTCCCATCTCTATTTCTTGAAATCCTAGCACATTGTACTGTTGGGAGGGACTTGGGAGAAGTTTCCCAGGGCCTGTGCATAGGGCATTAGATGTGAACTTGAGGGGCTGCTACGGCCTTGTTGTGAGTTCTATATGTGGTGGTGTGGGTCGGGTGTTTGCCAGGTTAAAAGGCATCTAAGGGTCTGGGAAGGTGTGGATGGGGTATTGAGCTGCTTTTGGTGCCCTCTGGTCTTGCACTATGCTCGAATAACCCAACTCCCTTTCCCCTTTGTACCTCCTCAGGACTGGCAGCCACCCTTTGCTGTAGAGGTCGACAACTTCAGATTTACTCCTCGAATCCAGAGGCTGAATGAACTAGAGGTGAGAAGACTAAGAGCTGGTGGCAGGATTGGGAGAATGGATACCTGAGCTCTGGCCCCTCTTCCCTCATTCCTTCTCTAAGATACTTTACTGACTAGGCCTTTATTCTCTCTTCTCTGAAGTTACATGGAGGGCATGGAGGAAGCTTTAGGGCTCTGAATATAACCAAGAACATGAGCATTTAGCATTTCTGATCTGATGGTCCAAAGTCTGAGGATATCCCTTTCCCATAAAGGTTTACTACTGCTGAAGTTCCCCTGTCAACTAACCTACCCTATGTGGCTCAACAGAAGGGAAGTATGGAGCTGGCTGAATGTGGCCTCAGTATCCAATTCTTCCACCTCCCTGTGCTTCCTATCTTCCTTCCATGGTGCTTGATGATGCAAATGTGTGGGAGCAACACAAAAACTTATCTGTGTGGAGGCTGGAATGGTTACAAATTTGGGCAGTGTGTCAGACAGATAGTCTTCCCTCTCCCTTTTGTTCTGTACAGGAAGTCCAGGCCCTTTGCATGGGTAGGTGAGGTTTTCCACTGAGGGCTTGAGACTGTCCTGGGGTAAATGAGAATGGGTACCCTGAAGCCAGTTCCAGGTAAGATCCTGGAGTTTCCCAGGGAAGGTGGAGATTAGAAGTATGCTACCACCCCCCTCCCTCATTATTATGTGTCCACAGGCCTTTCTAAATGTCCTGGGGGGATATTAGACCCAACCGAATACCCATGACCTAAAAGCTTACTTGTTTCCTAGACCTTAGTTCCTCAACCTTGGCACTATTGACATTTTGGCCCAGATCATTTTTTGTCGTGGGAGGGCTGTCCTATGCATTGCAAGATGTTTATCAGCACCCCTGGCTTCTACCCATTGATGCCAGTAGTACCCTTTCCCAGTTGCAGCAACCAAAAATATCTCCAGGCATTGCTACATGTCCTTGGGGGCAGAATTGCCTTTCATTGAGAACTAGTGCTCTAGGATCAGTCTTGGTGCTGTTCAGATCAGGGCAAAAATCATCTCTTGTAAGGGTACAAATTTCTTAGAGAAATGGATCTGACAGATCTGTGGGGGTACAGCTAGGGCAAGGTATTGCCTAATATGGGATGGGCAGGTTTTCTAAAAAGGTAGTGCTGGCTAATGAGGGGGAGGAGCAAGGATGAGGCCAAGGTTGGAAAGCTAAGGGGTTGAGCTGGAGGGAGTAGAGTTCCCGACCCCTTAGGGGTTCTGACATCTGAGGAGCCATACGTTGTTTCTCTCTACAAATATTTCGTAGTTTTCCTCATTTATGAAATAGACCTGTCCCTGTTCCCCCCTAATAGGATCAGAGCAAGGTAGTAAATAGTAGTGACTTATCTAGGTCTCCCTAGAATCACGCCCTCTGACCAGGGTGAGGTGTTCTATAGACTTGCATCATGCTTTATTCCTTGGATCTTTGGCCCATATCCAGTCCTGGGTTGGCCAGGTGCCAGCGCTGCTTTGGTATACCATATCATAGCTCTTCAGGCCATTCTGTCACTAACATGCACTCTCACCCTTCGGCTGCCATGGAACAAGTTTCATGGTACATAAGGAGATGAATGTGCTCTTTTGGAGCCTTCATTCTCTGAAACATGCCTAGAGCTTTAGATGAAATTCTGGAGTTTCCAGAGGGCCTCATTGTTCCTCTCATAAGTCCACCCTTCTGGGGTAAGTGGACTGGGCACTTATTTTATTTCCCTTTTATAATTAGAAAATAGGGATCCAGAGAGTAAAATTGATTTGCTTGAGGCTGTTCAGCATATCAGTAGCAGAGGAAAAGCTGAAATTTATTATTTGACATTCAGATCTATCTCTCTTTTAGTAAATTTGACATTACAATGTCATTGTGTAAGTTTCAAGTAACACAGCATATTAGTTTGATACATTTATGTATTATAATGTGATTGCTGATGTAGCAGTATTTATCACATTACATATTGTAGTGTTATATCATTATACTGACATTCTGATCTCTTGGTACCTGCTGTGTGACTTTTGAGGAAACCAGTTCTCTGTAAAAGAGATGATACTTATCCAGCCCTGTCAGGGAGATTGAGAAAAGGAGTATATGTAAAGCTTTGGCTCTTGTGACCTGACCCTCTCCATTTTGGGACCTTGGGCTTGTCCTGTTGACCAGAAGGTGGCAGAGATGAGAGGTAGGCTAACCACTGCTTAGAGTTGGAGATCCATTTTGTTGGGAAAGGCCCTGGATAGTGGGCCACTTTGTACCCTTCCTCCTCCCCTAAGATTAGGCCAGAAGACAGGAGTTGAGTAGAAGGGTCAGCCTCAGTCATTTCTTTTCCAGGCCCAGACGAGAGTGAAATTGAACTACTTGGACCAGATTGCCAAATTCTGGGAAATCCAGGGCTCCTCCTTAAAGATTCCTAATGTCGAGCGGCGGATCTTGGACCTCTACAGCCTCAGCAAAGTAAGAACAGATTTTTCTCAAACCCCTCCTCACCCTACACCTTAATATCCTTGGTATTCTGGGCATTCTTTTGGTTTGGATATTGGATCTCTAGGCTGCAGTGGAAGGGGGACAGCCTGGTAGCACACATCAGAACTTCTGGGCATGTCTTGCTGCAGTTTGAGTCTTCGTGGTGGTGGTAGGAGGAGAGGGTAGACCCAAGTGCAGTGAGGGGCTGGAGTTGTCCTCATTGCCCTTCCTGCAGGCCTACTCCCTCATGTACATACATACACACAGCGCATCCACGTCCCTTCCTGCTTGTCCTTGCAGATCGTGGTGGAGGAAGGTGGCTATGAAGCCATCTGCAAGGACCGTCGGTGGGCCCGGGTGGCCCAGCGCCTCAACTACCCACCAGGCAAAAACATTGGCTCCCTGCTACGCTCCCACTATGAACGCATCGTTTACCCCTATGAGATGTACCAGTCTGGAGCCAACCTGGTGGTAAGGATGCCAGCCCGGGGTGGAAGGAGGCTTCCCCACCCCAGACACAGATTTTCACACTTGCTCTTAATGAAACTGGTTCAGTGGACTAGAGTCCTGGAATCTAGACTCCACCTTTTTCTAGCGGTGCACATTCTCTTTCCACACTGCCCAGGGTCAGAGGTCCTGCAGTTATCCGCAGGGCCAGTGTACTATCTGTTATGCGACAAGGTTTTAACTTGATTAGAGGAATTCAGAGGAAGGAGAGATCTTTTGGGCTCGAGAGGTCTGGGAAGAGATGGAGTCTGATTTAGTTGGGGAGATGGTTGTGGGGAGATGGTTGGAAGGAGGAACGGTATAAGCAAAGGAAGGAGAATTCCCAAAGTGTATGCTGGTGTCAATGGTAAAGATCAGTTGAGCAGGGCCTATTGGTGTGGGTCACGGAGGTGCAACCACAGCTTTGGTTGCCACTGGGTGAGGGTAGAGGAAGTCCTTGCTGTTGGGGACTAGGACTCCATGCCCTGACCTCTATCCCTTACTTCTCCCCAGCAGTGCAACACACGTCCATTTGATAATGAGGAGAAGGACAAGGAGTACAAACCACACAGCATCCCCCTTCGGCAGTCTGTGCAGCCTTCCAAGTTCAACAGCTACGGCCGGCGGGCCAAGAGACTACAACCTGATGTGAGTATTTCCCTTCTGACTCAGGGCTTTGGAATGGAGAGAGTCCTCTCCCTCCCTCTGGCCAAGGCTCTGTTACCCGTTCCACTCTTCCTTCTCTCAGTTCTCTAGTTCTGAATAGTAGTGTGCCTCTCTGAAGTCACTCTTGCTCTTCCCTTCACTCTCCACTGAGCTTCCGAGTTGGGTCTTGATCTGTTTATACAGTATCTTTTCTATAGCTGATCTTCTCGCCTGCCTTGTTTTTTTCCTGACTCACTCTGCTTATAGGGACAAAACTCTTCTTTCTCCTTTTACCTGTATCCTAGCTTCAGGCAGAAGCTTATATGCCAGGCATTCTTCTAGGTGCTGGGAATATGACAACAAGATAGACACTGTCCCTGGACTCATCAAAGCATGTAGTTTAGCAGATCATTAGTCACTGCCATTTATTGGTAGTGCTAAACACTGATAGATTTCTTTATTTATGTAACCCCCAAACCTTCTTGTAACTTTAAGGTAAGAGTTAATATTCTCAATTTTAGAGTTGAGAAAATTGGGATCCTGTCTTAATTCATTTCCAAGAGAGGGCTGAGGAGAGAACTCACTTACTCCCTGTCTCCAAAAAGCACCTCTGAATTCTTGTCCTGGCCCACCCATGCTTCAGCCCCTGGCAGTAGCTCAGTACTCTAAGCTATTGTTCTTTTAGGACAGGGCAATCTGCCCCAGTAGCAGTCTTGATTCATTTCCTTCTTTCTTTCAGCCTGAACCCACAGAGGAAGACATTGAAAAGAATCCGGAGCTGAAGAAGCTACAGATCTATGGGGCAGGCCCCAAGATGATGGGCCTAGGCCTCATGGCCAAGGATAAGACTCTGCGGAAGAAAGGTGAGTCTTGAAAGGCTGGGACAGTGTGAAGGATCGCCTCACCTGGAGATAGGAGGCAAGGCCCTAATTGTTCCAGACCTGTGCTTTAGAGCTGTTCTGCTTTCTCCCAGATAAGGAAGGGCCTGAGTGTCCCCCCACCGTAGTGGTGAAGGAGGACTCAGGTGGGGACATGAAGGTGGAGTCAACATCACCCAAGGCCTTCCTGGAGAGCAAGGAGGAGCTGAGTCACAGCCCAGAGCCCTGTACCAAGATGACCATGAGGCTGCGGAGGAACCACAGCAATGCCCAGTTTGTAAGGACCCAGTCCTGACTTCATAATGCTTTGCTTCTTATGCCTTCAGCAAGCATTTCCCCAGCATGGCACAGGACCTGATTGCATTAAGCTGAAAAGTGGGCCTGGTGGGCCCTGCCCTCAGGTAGCTTATTTAATTGGGGAAACAAGATGAACTGACATAGAACAGAGAACAAGAAAGGGTGATCAAATACTATCAACATGAAGTGCAGCAGGGGTCCACAGAAGGAGACTCCATCTCCATTGTTTCAGGATAAAGGCTAAGCTTCCAGTCCCTGCTGCTGTCTAGCCTCATTCCCCAACACCGCCCCCTCACACTGAACTACTTGTAGGTGTGTTCGTTTTTTTCCCCTGACACACCATGTTCTTTCCTTCCCCATCCTTTGCACATGCTGTTTCTTCTGCCTGGAAGAGTTTCCTATGCACTCTGCCCCATTGCAGTTTGCTCTCAGGTTTCGGTTTCAGGTGTTACCTTTTCAGTGAAGTCCTTAAGACTGTCTCTCCTTGTGTCCAGCTGATTCCAGTGCTTTCTTCTCTAAGCTTTCACAGTACCCTTTATAGGCCACTCTTGGGAGTTTCTGCACTGCCCTTTATTATTATTTTTTAATGCGTCTATTGATTTCAGAGAGGAAGGGAGAGGGGAAGAGAGAGATAGAAACATCAATGATGAGAGAATCATTGATTGACTGACTGCCTCCTGTAGGCCCCCTGCTGGGAATCGAGCCTGCAACCCAGGCATGTGCCCTGACTGGGAATTGAACCTTGATCTCCTGGATCATAGGTCAGTGCTCAACCTCTGAGCCATGCTGGTCGGGCTACACTGCCCTTTAATTTTTATGAACCTGTGTCTCTGGAGTACTGTATGCCTCTAGAAGGCAGATGCCATGTCATATTTCTCACTGTCCTGCAGAGTCCTTCCTACTGTAGAACATACAAGTATTCCGTAAGTGTTTGTTGAATGAATAAAAGGGGGGAGTTCAAGATAGAATGATAAAGACTGCTTTCACAACTCTACCAGTGTGTCGGGAGATGTTGAGTGTATGCAATTAAACTCTAGACCTAGCATGACTAGCCTGTACAGGGCCATGAATGGTCCAGCTAACAAGCACTGTGGCTTTCTCATGGAGAGCTCTGTGGACCTGGGTCCTTTCTGGAGGAGTCTTCTGTGTGAAGGCTGGACAGGGCTTAGGTGGATGAACTGTTTCCTCCCTCCCCTGGCAGATTGAGTCATATGTATGTCGGATGTGTTCCCGAGGGGATGAGGACGACAAACTCCTGCTATGTGATGGCTGTGATGACAACTACCACATCTTTTGCCTGCTGCCGCCTCTGCCTGAGATTCCCAAGGGTGTGTGGCGGTGCCCAAAGTGTGTCATGGCGGTAAGGCCTTCCCAGCCGTAGTCCATATCTGTCTCATAGGGTATCCTTGCTTTCCTTCATCTGGCTTTATTGTGAGCAGCTTCCTGGCTCAGCCACAGTCTTATGTTTTGGGTCCCTGGGGTGGGGCTGGGCTCTGCAGAACTCTGGGACAAAAAGGAGGAGGAGACTCAGCCTTTGCTTGTGTCCTCTGGGAGCTCTTAGACCACTTGGGGAGGTAAGAGTCCTGATTAGACACACTGTATGCAATGGCGTATAATCAAATGCTAAATTATGTTTTAGAAACTCGGCGTAGAAGTTCTAAGGAGAAGAAAATGACTAAGGGTAGATGTTGGGATTGACATTTGGAGGACAGGAATATGAAGAAAAAATTGTTCTTTTTACTTCCAAGTTTTTTATTACTTGTTTTTTAAGAAAGCTTGGAAAATAGACAAATTACCTATCATCTCACCACCTAGAGACAGCCATTGTTAATAGTCTGGTATATTTTCTTCTCATCTTTTTGTTGTTGCATTGGGGATCTTACTGTATATTTTCATTTGTCACTTTGTAATCATTTTTCTATACTATTAAATTTATTCATGGGTATAATTTGTTTTTCTTATAGGGGGTCCATCATATGGGTAATAATGTTTGTGTCCTTCTGTTGTGATAATGGAATTGGTTTGCGGTGATGTAGACTCACTAGAAAAGGTGGGCAGGAATTCTAGACTGGGGAATGGAGGACATGCGGAAACAAGGGTATAGGGGGAGAATGTACCTAGTGCAAGAGGGGCAGTAACGAGAGCAGCTGAAGCAGCAGTAAAGGCTAAGTGGCCTGGAAAGTCCTCCAGGTCTGTTCCATGAGCTTCCTATCTTCATCCAAATTCTCGGTGCTCATTTACATTTCTCTCTGGTTTTCTGGAGAGCAGATGTTGATAATCTATCCTTATCGTAGGGACTCAGCTGTGGTCGTAGACTAGGTGTGTATGTGCGCGCGCGCGCACACACACACACACACGTGCGTAGAGATGAGGAAAGAGACCAGGGCAGTGCATAATGAATGGCCTTGGTAGTGGTGGAGATTCCTTTGGGAAGGAGTTTGGACACAAACAGTATCATAGACGGCAAAGACTGTCAGCTCTGCTTGGCTCTCTAAGTGATTGTGGGCCAGTGGACCAGATTGACATTTATTTTTCAGGCATGTAAAGAGTGTGTGTCTGACTCTGGGGTACATACACCTCTCATCTAAAACCATGACTGTAGGTACAAAGTGAGGTCGACCCGCATCCAGTCTTTGAGACAATCTAAGGAACAGGAACAATGTAGAGTTTGGCACTAAAAAATTGGTGCCTTTGTTTCCCATCCTCCACGCTACTAGAATATTCACTGCTGGTTTCCCAGGCCTGTAGTTCTAGTCTGGGCATAAAAAAAGCTTCCCTAAGCACCCTGTGCAGAAGAGCATAGGATAGCATATTTAAGTCAGGGTCCATGGTTTAGATCAGGAGCAGGGAACCTTTTTTCTGCCAAGGGCCATTTGGATATTTATAACATCATTTATGGGCCATACAAAATTATCAACTTAAAAATTAGCTATGAAAAAAACTCCTAGATTTATTGAATTTTGAGTCCTGCCTGTGGTTGCCTTGGCAGGGCCAGACCAAATGATTTTGCGGCTGTATTCGGCCTGCGAGTGAGCATTCCCCACCCCTGGTTTAGCTTGTAAAGTCCTACAGGAAGAAAAGAACAGAAGCCTGTGGAAAGAGTGAGGTGGGAAATGAAGAGGCTAAGCTGAAGTGCTAGGAGAAAAGGTGGAGCTATTAAATGAGGCCTGCCTTGGGAACCTTGAGTGCAGACCTAGGGCTACTTTCCCTCCCTACTCCTACCCATATTCCAGCTCCGATTTTGAGGCTTCTCCACCTCTTTGCCTCTGCCTTGGTGACATGTTCTCCTTTGGGTTTCAGGAGTGTAAGCGCCCCCCCGAAGCCTTTGGCTTTGAGCAGGCTACCCGGGAATACACTCTGCAGAGCTTTGGCGAGATGGCCGACTCCTTTAAAGCCGATTACTTCAACATGCCCGTGCACGTAGGTGATGGAGGGCTGGGGTAGTGTCAGGGCTAGGGTCATAGGTGTTGGTGTCTGAGAGTCTTAGCTCTCCTGGGTCAGTGGGGCTAGGTTATGATGGGCCACAGTCATTTGCTACCCCTGTTCTCCAGATGGTGCCCACAGAACTTGTGGAGAAGGAGTTCTGGCGGCTAGTGAATAGCATTGAGGAAGATGTGACGGTTGAGTATGGGGCTGACATCCATTCCAAAGAATTTGGCAGCGGTTTCCCTGTCAGCGACAATAAGCGTCACCTAACCCCTGAGGAGGAGGTGAGTGGATGATTCATTGTTATACGTCAGCTCTGTGACCTTAGGCAAGTCATTCAGTTTATGAAAGACTCACTGGCTATGTGGGGCTTAGGTTAGACGATACATGTGTAAAGAACAGCCTGGTATTGGCATGGCATCTCTAGTCATGAGATTGGCTATTTCCTTGTCTGTAGAATGGGGATAGTATCTAACTTACAAATTTGTGATAAGAATTAAATGAGAAGATGTGTGAAATGCCTAGCAGGGTGCCTGACTTGTTCATAAAACGTTCAGGGACAGAAAAAAGTGAGGGCCCAAGCCTGCCTCAAGGGAAGGGTGCATTTTGCTTCAGAGCAGAGGTTTTTAACTTGCAGGTATTTTGGTGGGTGGATATATCTGTCAACCTCCCTGAAACTGAATTGAATTGAATCGAATCAAATTGAATTGAATTGAATCGAATCAAAATTTTATGCGTATGCATTTTGCGGGGAGAATACCTATACTATTTCTTAGATGTTTCAGAAAGGTCTGTGATCTCAAAATTAACATTCTCTGGGCTCAAGATCTCAGTTCCTTATTATAACCCTCATCCCCTTTCCACAAATATTTGACCTGGCAGGAGTATGCTACCAGTGGCTGGAACCTGAATGTGATGCCAGTATTGGAGCAGTCCGTACTGTGCCACATCAATGCTGATATCTCTGGCATGAAGGTGCCCTGGCTCTACGTAGGGATGGTCTTCTCAGCCTTTTGCTGGCACATTGAGGATCACTGGAGTTACTCCATTAACTACCTCCACTGGTGAGTTGGGGCCCTGGGGAGCTAGGAAAGCAGAGCGGACTCCCTGAGGACCACAGGTGTGACCATTCTATATGTCCCCTTTCCACTTGGACAGGGGTGAACCGAAGACATGGTATGGGGTACCCTCGCTTGCAGCAGAACATTTGGAGGAGGTAATGAAGAAGCTGACACCTGAGCTGTTTGATAGCCAGCCTGACCTCCTGCACCAGCTTGTCACCCTCATGAATCCCAATACCCTCATGTCCCATGGCGTGCCGGTGAGTGCCCAGGAAACAGGGAAATGGGTAGGAATGACTTAGTGATGTCCTTTGTAGTGGTGGTGGCCATTGTCTGGAATCTACCCCTCCACCTTTCTTATTCCTGTTGGGTTATCAGTTTGATAACTCTAATAGAGACCCAATACAATGTGATGGTGAGCCTTCTGGGCTGCATGTTTGAGGGCAATACCTTAGGGATAGCTTATCACATCATATCTACATTCCAGTAGTGCAAGAGGGAAATTGGGGAAGAACAGGGCAAGACAAGTCTCTTTACTTTTAAGGGCAGACGTCATTTCCTGTTAGTCACAACTTAGTCACATGGCCACATTTAGCTGCAGGGAAAACTGGGAAATGTGTTTTTGTTCTGGATGGTTATGTACCAGCTACAATTTGGAGGTCATGTTATTATGAAAGAAAGTGAAAGAATATCAGGGAGCAATTAGCAGTTCTCTGCCATACTTTCCATACCGTAACCCTTGGAGCAGTCTTTTTACTTATTTAACAGGTCTGAAGTTCAATCGTGGTAATTATTTTGCAATATATAAGTCTATCAAATCAATATGTTATACATTTTAAATTTACATGATGTTTTATATCTCAATAAAGCCTGGGGAAGGGGCGGGTAACCTTAAAAAAAAAGTACTAATATCTTTCAACATTTTGAAAAAAAGTTGAACACAGAGTCCTGGCTTATGCTGTCTCTGTGTACCTCTCCCGCCCTATAAAACGTTTTGCTGGGCATACAACCTGGCTTACCTATAAGAGACTTTATATTCCTGAGAATTTCCAGCATCAGTTAGCATCAGCTAGTTTTCTGGTGTGGATCTTAAAACAACCTGATCAACAGTCCTGTAGGAACATGGCTTAGTACGTTCACCACCTCTGCTTTGAGTCTTATTCTGTACTCCTCCTCACTCCCTTCTACCCCCCACCCTTATCTGCCCTGACAGTCTAATGCATGGGGTCATGTACATATTGAGGTAGGCAGTCAGTACGTATTGAATTAATGTCTCCTCGAGATCCCTGGACATTTGTACAGTAGGGCTTTGGACTGGGTCACTGGTTCTCACCCAAATTTCTCCTTGCCTTCACCTTGTTTTAATATACTACATACCCTTTGAGTAATATTTTGTGTTATACATTTTTGTGATACTTAACCAAGGACTGAGATGTCTAGGAAATTAGAGGGAGCATTCTGCAGCAGTTCAGGCAGCCTTCCTCCACTTAAAGGTAGAGTACCCTTTTCCGTCTCCACCTCGCCCCATTTAAGAATTATTGGAGTTGAGATGCTGAGATGATCAAGGGCCCTTCCAGTTCTCTTCACAACTAGACATTGTGTCTGACCTTTCCTCAAACCTTGCCTACAATGTCAAGGAAAATTATAAGAGTAGAGGAGGAATCTCCTTAAGAATTCAGACAACTAAGATGTATATATAGCTCAACCGAGCATGGCTCAGCAGTTGAGCGTCAACCTAGGATCCAGGCAATTGGGGTTCGATTCCCGGTCAGGGCACATGCCTGGGTTGCGGGCTTGATCCCCAGTCGGGGGTGTGCAGGAGGCAGCCGATCAGTGACTCTCTTGTCATTAATGTTTCTTTCTCTCTCCCTCCCTCTCCTCTCTCTGAAGTCAATAAAGATATATTTTTTAAAAACAGAAAAAGATGCATATATAGCCCTGGCCAATGTGGTTCAGTGGGTTGGGCATCGTCCTGTGCACCAAAAGGTTGCTGGTCAGGGCACGTGCCTGAGTTGTGGGCTCGATCCCCAGTAGAAGGCATGCAGGAGGTAGTTGATTGATATTGCACTCTCACATCAATGTTTCTCCCTCTCTCCGTCTCCCTCTCCCTTTCTCCTCTCTAAAAAAAATAAATAAAAAATGTTAAAAAAAAAAAAAGCATATATCTGTAGCTGTTTAGTCCTTACCTCTTTTTTAAAAACTTTATTACAGACTTTTAAACATGTGCTCTTCCACAGCATTTCTCTTGCTCATGGCAGTATCCCTCAATCCAAGGCATCTGTGATTTTCATATTCTCGTGTTGGCAGGCTGTAGTTTAGCCAGTTGGAGCTCCCTCAGAGCTATCTTTAGCCTGCCCCCTCCTTCCTCTTTGGTGAGAAAAGGCCATTTCTTTTTATAGATACATAGTATAATTTTCATTATAAAAGAAATATGCCCCCTTCCCAAAAAATGGAAATAGGTCATCTTTATTTCCTTCACATTTTTTGTTTCCACCTGTTGTTTTTCTATGTAAATTTTGACGTAGCAGTAATTAGTGCATGGATTTAAAATCTTTTTTGTAAGTTTAACCTAGGATGGCACTGTCCAGTTTGGTAGCCTCTAGCCACATGTGGCTACTGAGCACTTGAAGTGTGGCTAATCCTAACTGAAATGTGCTGACAGAACACATGTTGGATTTCAAGACTTAGTACAAAACAAACAATATAAAATATCTCACTAATACTTTTATTTACCCATTACACATTGAAATAATATTGCAGCTATATTAAGTTAAATAAAATATATTGAAATTAATTCCCCCTGTTTTACTTTTTTAATGTGACTACTAGAGAATTTAAAAGAGCATATGTGGCTGGCATTATATTGGACAGTGCTAGACTGGGATGATTTTTGCTTCCTTACTATGAGCTGTTTATAGCCACCTTTTTAAAAATACCAAGTCTTGCCCTGGCTAGTATGGCTTAGTTGGTTGGGCCTCGTTCTGTGCACCAAAAGGTTGCCTGTTTGATTTCCAGTCAGGGCACATGCCCAGGTTGCAGACTCATCCCCAGTAGGGGGCGTGCAGGAGGCAGCCGATCAATATTACACTCTCACATCGATGTTTCGCTCTCCCTCCTTTCCTCTCTCTTTAAAAATCAATAAAAATATTTAAAAGTAAAAATACCAAGTCTTTTTAAAAGCAGCTTTATTGCAGTATAGTTTACATACAATAAAATTCATACATTTTGAGTATACAGTTGAGCAAATTTACAGAATTGTGCTACTATGACCACAATCCAGTTTTAGAACATTTTTATCACTCCAAAAAGGTATTTCATGCCCTTTTGCAGTCACTCTCCATTCCAACCCCTAGTCCCAGACAACCACTAATCTGCCTTCTGTCTCTACAGATTTGCCTTTTGAAGACAGTTCATATAAATATAATAATATTTGGTCTTTTGTGTCTGGCTTCTTTCACTTAGCATAATGTTTTCCAAGTTCATATTGTAGCCTGTGTCAGAACGTCATTCCTTTTTATAATGGAATCATTTTCCATTGTATGAGTATACTATGTTTTGTTTATACATTCACCATTTGATGGACATTTGGGTCTTTTTTTTAACAGCTGCAGAAAGTGAGGAGAGCTTTTTAAAATAACTAAATAGGAAACAGTAAAGTGACATTGCCAAAATGAGGGGGTAGGTTGAGACAAAGAGTCAGGAACATTAGTTTCTATTTCTGGCTCTGCTACTTGAGACTTCTCTGGGACTCAGTTTTCACATCTATAAAATTAAGGCTAGAACTGGATCATTCAACATGTATTGCTAGAACTCCCTCTATGTGCAAGGCCTCTGGTCATCACCCCGAAGGTAAATAAACCAGTCCCTGCCTATGGGTATGCACAGATGGGTGGAGGACAGAGGTGAGTAAACAAGTAGAATAAAATGTTAGAAGTGCTACAAAAGAACAACAGACTGGGTCCTTAGGAAGCAAGGTGAGATGATCAAGAAAGCATTTGTGCCTGGCCAGCATGGCTCAGCGGTTGAGCATCGACCTATGATCCAGGAGATCTAGGTTCGATTTCTGGTCAGGGCACATGCCCCGGTTGCAGGCTTGATCTCCAGTAGGGGGCATGCAGGAGGCAGCTGATCAATGACTCATCATTGGTGTTTCTATCTTTCTCCCTCTCTCTTCCTCTCTCTGAAGTTAATAAAGACATTTTTTAAAAAAGAAGAAGAAAGCATTTGTAGAAATGACTCTGAAAGGAAGAGAAGAGTTTACCTGTCTGGCTGGGGCTTTATCATGTGGACATGGGGATTCAAGTGAGGGCTTCTCAGTAGGGTCAGATTTGCATTTTTTGGAAAACAATTCTAGTGGTTGGTAATGTGGCCCGGTGCAATAATACAGGCAAGAAATGCTAATGTTGCCTCTTAGTAGACATTTGAGAAGAAAATGCGTTGGAGGCAGGAGTTGATGCATGACCCGAATAAACATGTAGATGTTTTCACATGTGGGAAGATTCAATATTTTTAGAATGTTAGTTCTCTCCACATTAATCTAGAATCCTAGCAGGGGAATCATTGAGTTGAATGGTATAAGCATCTTAGGTTCTTGATATGTATTAGCAATTTTGCTTTCTAGAGAGTAGAAATTATTGATCCCCTTATTGACACTGTACCTATTTCACTTTGTCTTCATCAGCAATGAATATTGATCTTAGAAAATTTTATGAGGTTTCTCAGTAAAAATGGAGAATTAAACATACACATGGACACTTCCATTGTATACCAAAACTCCACTGAAATGGCACAAGGGTTTTTTATTTAAGGTAAAAGAACAGAGATGGATAAACGAGAGAACACAGTGATAAAATGGTTGAAACTAGAAAACATAAGAAACTCAACCTTAAGCCAGTACTGGTACATCTGATTTATACCTCACAGTCCCCTAAAGGTTTAATAGTCGGTGGCACCAGGCATTTTGGGGATAAAGAAAAATGAGATGAAAATCAGGATTGAGTTGTATCTATATAAGAAGCTGTGAGATAACCCTCCTGTGCTGGGCAGCTGGAAATGTGCCCTCCCTCACTTTAGCAAAAGACTGGAAATTGACTTTTGAAGAGGTTAAAATAGAAGATGTCTGGATTGAGGTGTTCTAGGTACAGTTGAGGGTGGAGGTACAGTGAACATAGTCGGCTTTGTTACTGTATACAGACCGGAAGCTGAGGTTCCCAGCCACATTCCTCCACTTGGCTCTCAGAATACGGGCAGTGATGCTTTTCCTTCAGGAATCGCCCAAGAGGGAAGACCTAGAGTTTCCCAAGCTAAATGGCTCAGCCAGATCACCCTACAGTGAAGCTTACAGTTGACAGACTTTACCTATGCATTCAGAATTTCTCTTTACTCTTAAATATAAGTAGCCACAAATTAACATACAACCAAGGAACCTATAAAAAACAAAATAGAACCAAACAGGAAAAAAAACAACTTGGAGAAACAGAGCATAGCCAGGGAGAAGTAAACTTTTAAAAGGAAAGGAAAAGCCTCAGTAATATCTTCAAAGATGAGCATATATTGCAAACATAAGAACAAATACTATTTTAAAAGCATACAGAGCACAAAAAAGAGCTCTTGGAAATTAAAATTATGCTAGCAAAGCTAAAAAATTTAAAAAACATAAAAAGTTAGAAAATGAATAGCTATGGAAATCAGAATGAGTATAATAGAGGTAAAAATATAATAAACTCAATTTTATCATTAACTTTTAAATCACATTTGATAGTTGAAGCAAAAATTATAATTTAATATGCTCAATGTAGGTTGAGGAAATATGTAAGATAACTATTTTTTAAAGTGGGGATATTAAAAGGACCTAAAAATATGTAGGGTTTCTACATGTCATTAGGTTTGATATATTGTTGGTACCAGTATAATTTGATAAGTGATATTTGTATATTATGATATCTAGAACAACTACTAAGAAAATTATTCAAAGGGCTAAACTAAAAAATATAAATAAATCAAGATTGAACCTTAAAAAAAATAGTTACGGAAATCTCCCACAAAAAAATAGAATAAAAAGATAAAGATGGGAAAACATAGAGAAAATTAGAGAATTTGTTTAGGAGGTTCAATATTTAAATACTAGGAGTTCTGAAAAGAAAATAGATAAAAATGGAAAGGATCAAATAATTAATGAAATCATTCAAGAAAATGTCCCTGAATCGAAAGACTGAGTTTCTAGAATCAAAGGGCCTACCCAGTACATGAATGAAAGTAGATCCACACCAAGATATATTTGATGGATTTTCATATCAAACACTGGGACCAGAAAAATCCTACAAGCTTCCTGAGAGAGAAAACAGGTTTAAGTCAAAGTATTAGAAATCAGAATGGCTTCAGACTTTTCAAAAGCAACACTAGAATCTAGAAGACCAGAGCCATGCCTTCAAATGATTTTCAGCTTAGAATTCTATATGCAATTAAAAAAAAAAAAAAGTTCTTCCCATCATTTCTCAGGAAGCTATAGGAGAAATGTGCCCAAGCACAGCAAAGGAATAAACCAACAAAGAGGAAACCATGGGATCTGGGACACAGGTGACCTGTCACAGGAGAGTGATAATCTGGGAAGGACATCTGGCACTGATTGGTCCAGATTGGAACAGATCGTAAGGCTCCATGAGCGACTTACAGAAATGTGAAAACTGATAGAGTTGGACACTTGTCCCAAGGGCGGGGATTAAATTTCTAATAACATTCGTAGGAAATTAGGCAAATTGAGAAGTAGGCTGTTTTTAACATAGTCTAGAGGCATGTTATTCAGTATTAATGTAAATGCCAAAATAATAAGAGGTGAAAGCATTTGGCTCTGGGGAGTGGAGAATGGCAGGGCCTGCTGATTTTATAATAAACCTTGTAGAACCATTTGGCTCTTGAAACTGCATATATAACTGATAAAAAGAATTATTAATGAAAAAACCTTGATTAGCTTAATGAAAGGTGATATTTTAAATTTTTATAAAAATTACTAGTGAGGTTGAAATATTTTCGTATGTACTGTCTTTCTTTTGACTAATTTTCCTGTCATCTATCAACACAAAACCTTGAGAACTAGAGACCATGGTCGTTCCTTTCAGAGTTTGAAGGTCTGGGAGTCTGTTGTCACTGTGTTCCCTGAGGCTTTCCTTTCTCCATTAGAACCCTGCACTTAGACCAACTTTCTGCAGATTGTGAAAGTCTGTCTCAGTGACTTGGGCCTTTCTTCCTCAGGTTGTCCGCACAAACCAGTGTGCAGGAGAATTCGTCATTACCTTTCCTCGTGCTTACCACAGTGGCTTCAACCAAGGCTACAATTTTGCCGAGGCTGTCAACTTTTGCACTGCTGACTGGGTGAGTCGAGTATGGTGGGCTGGAAGGGAGAAGCAGGAGGGTTATGGGGAAGCTGAGGCACCATGGCCTCCAGACTTTGGCCAAACTCAACTTTGAACCTGTCTACAGTTGCCAGCTGGGCGCCAGTGCATTGAGCACTACCGCCGGCTCCGTAGATACTGCGTCTTCTCCCATGAGGAGCTCATATGCAAGATGGCTGCCTGCCCAGAGAAGCTGGACCTGAACCTGGCGGCAGCTGTGCATAAAGAAATGTTCATCATGGTTCAGGAGGAGCGGCGCTTACGGAAGGCTCTGCTGGAGAAGGTGAGTGGTGGGGAGAGTGCCCTGGGTCAGGCACCCTAGCATGGCAGAGGTGAGGGGAGGAAGGGACAGCCCCAAGAAGTAGATGTAGCTTCTACTTTGGGGGAGTGGTGAAAAGAACCAGATGCATCTTGATGGGGAACCATATTCCATTCCCTGCTCTTCCATTTACTAGCAACCACGAGTAAGTTAATTTACTTCACTGAATATCGGTATCCCTGTCTGAAAATTTGGGATTATAATAAGGCTTATCTTTTTGAATAGTTGGGTAGATTAAGATGTTTATTAAGTAACTGAGCCATAGCAGGTGCTAGTATAGCTGCTGTTCATTATTATTTAAATAACGCAACTAGGCAGACTGGCATATACCGATTAGCTGGATGACCTTTTCAAGTCCCTTAACCTCTCATAGTCTCACTTTCCCACTCTGTAAAATGGAAATAAATACTTAACTTGCAAGGAGGTAAAGGTTGCGTAAGGTGGTTTATGTCAAAGCATCTGTTAACTGCACTTGCAGTGTAACAGCTGCTATTAATACATGAAGAAAATGATTGAAATCGGAAACATTTCTTAGGAAATGCCATTTTATTCAGATGGTTTAGCAGCTCACACTGAGGTAATATCACCAAGTAGAGGGCAGCCCTCCTTTAATAGATTTCTCATAAGCATGTCAGTTGTGTGTGTGTAGGTGAGTGTAGTTCAGCTGCCCTCTTAAAGCATCACACTTGCCCAATTAAGGAATTAACTTCAAGTCCTCCATAGGATTACAAAGGAATGCTAGTTCTGAGGGATCCCTTGCTGCCCACTTTAGGTAACACTTTATTTTAAAGCTCCTTTATAATTTTTCCTATGAGCGTGGGCTTCAAGGAGAATTGTAGTAACAGTAAGAGTTGGAAGTGTGGGGCCTGTCAGTCTGTGGCATTAGTTGGTGGGCCCCTGGGTGTTGTCAGGCATCACTGTCTCTCGTTGTTCAGTACTGTTATTAAATGGTGACCCTGCGGCCATGCCAGACTACAGGACAAAGCCAAAGCAAGGTGGAAGAACTAGCCGTTCTCATCCTGCCTTTCAGATTTCTTTACACTGGGCCCTTACCTTAGAGAACTGTTCTGGACCCTAAGTCTTGAAATTCTATAGAAGACTCGTGTCTGTGTGTGTGTATACGTACATACGTATGTGTGTATACGTACATACGTACATGTGTACGCTTTTCTGGGGAGAGGGCTCATAGATGGCATCCAATTTTCAGAGGAGTCCATGATCCAAAAATACCTAGGGGGCTTCATCTTTAAAGCATTCTCTGATTGCAGAGTCAAAATTAACTGCAGTCAGATTCTCACATTGGGTAACTTAGTAACTCTGTCTCTGGGACTTACCTTCCTCCTTAGTAAAATGAGATATCCTANCACATTTGTTGAACAGTGTGATGATGGTTGGTGTTCATAAATATGACTCTAGTAACCCTGAAAGCTTCTGCAATGCCCTTTGAATGAACAAATATTAAATACAAATCAAATGTTAAATCATATTCATTGCTATATTGTGTACTTATTGTAGAAAAATTGTTTAAAAATTGATGATCCACATAGAGCAGAGGCTCTTTTTTTCATTTTGATTGAGCTGTAACTGACATAATAGTCTGTAAGTTAAAGGTGTGCACATGATGATTTGATATACAGGTTGTGAAATGGTTTCCACAATACGGTTAGTTAATCCCTCCATCCCTCCACATAGTTACCTTTTTTATGTATATGTAGTAAGAACATTTAGAACAACTGCCTTAACAACTTTCAAGTACGTAATACAGTATTTTTTATGGTAGTCACCATGCTGTACATTAGATCCCCCAAACTTACTTATAACTTTGACCAACATCTTCCCATTTCTTCTACCTCCCAGCTCCTGGCAACCACCAATCTACTCTTTGTTTCTATGAGTTCAGCTTTTTAAAATTCCACATATAAGTGATATCCTAGTAGTATTTCTGTGTCTAATTTCATTTAGTATAATGCTCTCAATGTCTATGTTGTCACAAATGGCAGGATTTCCTTCTTTCTCATAGCTGAATAATATTCCAGTGTGTGTATCACATTTTCTTTCTTTTTAAACATTTTTTATTTTATTTTTTATAACTTATTTTTTTAAAAGTTGACAATTATGATATTAGTTTCAGGTGTACAACATAGTAATTAGGCATTTATATATGTTATGAAGTGATCACTGTAAATCTAGTACCTATCTGTTACCATACACAGTCACTGTATTATTGACTGTACAGGGTGAGCAAAAGTAGGTTTATAGTTGTGAGAACATGGAAGAGTTTTTCTTGTATTATTTATTAATTACTGTATTATTTATTTGTATTAAAACTGTAAACCTGCTTTTGCCCACCCCTGTAACCTGTGCTATACAGTACATCCCTATGACTTACTCTGTAAGTGGCCATTTGCACCCATCCCCCATACCTGCCCCTCTCTGGCAACCATTAGTTTGTTCTCTGTATCTGTGAGTTTGTTTCTGTGTTGTTTTGTTGGTTGGTTTGTTTTGTTTTTTAGATTCCACATATAAGTGAAATCATATGGTATTTGTCTTTCTCTAACTTACTTCATTTAGCATAGTACCCTCTAGGTTCATCCATGTTGTTGCAAATGGCAAGATTTCATTCTTTTTTATGACTGAGTAATATTTTATTGAATATACAGCTGACCCTTGAACTACACAGGGGATAGGGATGCCAACTGCACACCCTGCCCCCCATCACCCCATGCAGTTGAAAACTTATATCAAACGTTTGACCTTGAAGGATTGGTTCCAGGACGCCTGGCAGACACCAGAATCCACAGATACTCAAGTCCCTTATATAAAATGGTATAGAACAATGCATACAGCTAGCCTTCACATCTGCAGATCAGAAATACTGTTTATGATCACACCTTCTTTATCCATTCATCATTTGAAGGTTGCTTCCATATGTTGGTTATTGTAAATAATGCTTGATGAACACACAGGTGTACAGATATCTTTTTGAATTAGTGTTTTTTATTTCTTTGGATAAGTACCCAGAAGTGGGATTGCTGGATCATAGGATAGTTCTATTTTTAATTTTCTGAGGAATCTTCATACTGTTTCCCATAGTAGCTGCACCATTTTATATTCCCACCAACAGTGCACAGAGGTTTTCTTTTCCCCTTGTCTTTACCAACACTTATCTTTTTTAGATAGTCATCCTAACAGATGTGAGGTCTCATTGTGGTTTTGATTTGCATTTCCCTGAAGATTAGTGATGTGCATCTTTTTATGTATCTGTTGGCTATTTGTATGACTTCTAAAAAATGTCTATTCAGGTCCTTTGTCCAGAATTGTTTGTTGTTTGCCATTGAGTTATATATTTATATCTTTGTATATTTTAGATATTAACCCTTTATTAGATATATGGTTTGCAAATATTTTCTCCCATTCCATAGTTGGCTTTTTATTTTGTTGATTGTTGGGATTTTTTGTGTGTGTTTTTTTGCTACATAGAACCTTTTTAGTTTGATTTAGTCCCATTTATTTTTGCTTTTTGCTTGTGCTTTCGGTGCCAGGAAGAAAAATTGTTGCCAAGACCAATGTCAAGGAGATTTTTTTCTTATGTTTTCTTCTAGAAGTTTTATGGTTTTTGGTCTTATGTTTACATCTTTAATCTAATTCAAGTTAATTTTTGTGAGTGGTGTAAGATAGGGGTCCAATTTCATTCTTTTGCATGTGGTTATCTAGTTTTCCAAGCACCATTTATTGAAGAGACTATCCTTTCCCCATTAAATAGCCTGAGCTACCTTGCCAAATATTAGTTGACCCATATATATATAGGGGTTTATTTCTGGGCTCTCAATTCTGTTCTATTGGTCTATGTGTCTAAGTATTAAGATACTTTTCTAAGTCCTTAGTTGCTTTATCTTTGTTAATCCTCATAACACAATGAGGATGGTACCATTATCTCCATTTTACAAGATAGGGAGACTGAAACCTAAGAGGTTTAAATAATTTATTCAAGATCACACAACTATTAAGTGGCCAAGTAGGATTTGTAATATGCACTGGACTCATATCTTACGTAGAAGTTAGTTGTTAAAGTTAAAGAAACAGAAGATAAAAACTGTTAAGAATCAAAATGTCCTTTTAAAATCCCTAAAATTTCCCATAATGGTGGCATTGTATTATCTTTCAATTCCTCCCACAAAGCCAACTTGTCCTCCGTTTTTGGAATGGATTGCCTTTTCTTCATCTGTGCACCAGATGAAGTCATTGCTTAGGTTTGGAGGCCATGTTGTTAAAAAAATATATTGTATTTTTAAACAGTGGACACGGGCACATAGTTTTATTTCTGTAACTTAGGTATGTGCACATAGTGTGTCCTGTCTGCTAAACAGCAAGCACGGTGCCTGGAGCACAGTGGGCGCTGAGTGACTAGAAGCCATCATTGTTCTGCAGCATATGGCCTTTCTCCTGCCCACTGCCACACCTTGCCACCTCTCTGGTGCCTTGATCACCACTTTTCTTACCTTCTCCCACCCAAAAGGCCCTTTTAGCTGATCTGAATCTTACCTAATTTTTCTTCCGCTCAGCCCACTCTGATTCTTCCCCTGGTTCATCTCATTCCCCCAGCTGTGCGAGTCTGGACTTCATACAGGCAGTGTGCTCCTTGAAGTTTGGTCTCCCTCACAGCTCTGCACAGATTTGTTTCTAACACAGGGCTCAGTAGTGCCTGAGGTGTGGGCCCTGTTCTGGTCCTATATAATGTGCATGGGTCAAACCGCTCCTAGGGCATCACAGAAGCTGAGCGAGAGGCTTTTGAGCTGCTCCCGGATGATGAGCGCCAGTGCATCAAGTGTAAGACCACATGCTTCCTATCAGCCCTGGCCTGCTATGACTGCCCAGACGGCCTTGTCTGCCTTTCCCACATCAATGACCTCTGCAAGTGTTCCAGTAGCCGGCAGTACCTGCGGTGAGCAGGGGGGCCTACCTGGAGGAAGTGGGCCGAGGAGGGAGATGCGGAGCTGGGCCAGAGTGCTCTTCCCTGCCCTCTTCCTCCAGGTATCGCTACACCTTGGATGAGCTCCCTGCCATGCTACATAAGCTGAAGGTTCGGGCTGAGTCCTTTGACACCTGGGCCAACAAAGTGCGAGTGGCCCTGGAGGTGGAGGATGGGCGGAAGCGCAGTGAGTTATGGGGGGGACGGAGGGACTCCACAGGCAAGTTCTACTCCCTTTTCTTCTGTGCCCCCCACCCTCTCCCTCTGCCTTTACTCAATACTGCATACTCCTTGCTGCTCTCATTTTTTCTCCAGGCCTTGAAGAGCTGAGAGCACTAGAGTCTGAGGCCCGTGAACGGAGGTTTCCTAACAGTGAGTTGCTGCAGCGACTGAAGAACTGCCTGAGTGAGGCAGAGGCTTGCGTGTCCCGGGCTCTGGGACTGGTCAGCGGCCAGGAAGCTGGGTATGGCAGCATGAGGTGTTGGGCACAGGTAGCCTGTTGAGACAGCACCTGGGAAAAGTGCTACAAGGGATGGACTCTGACCATTGGGCAGATGACATCAGTAGGAAGCTGAGAAGCACTGCAGTGCAAGGTGGCATGGGAGGTGGTGTGGGAGGGCAGAGAGACCAGGCAACTAGGATAGAGAAGCATCTCGGTTCGAGGAAAGCTAGAAATGCTTCATTTTGTCAGTTCCTGGAGGAGTTTGCAGATAGGCCGAGGGAATTTGTGTGCAGGACAGAGGTGTGGAAGTTTAAGGGCAAGAAAAGGACACAGAAGCATAACCCTTGACCATAGATCACAGTAGAGGATGGAAAGTCCAGCTTCTGTTACCATCAATTTCTAACCCCCCCCCCTTCCCAGATATATCCTGTATCCCCTCTTCTAATTTTTCTCCCTCATCATTGGATGTGCCTATATCTGAGAGCCTCCCCCTACCCTGGGCAGCTGGGGAAGCTGACGCATGAGAGATCAAGGTGGGAAGGTGTGAGGAAAGGTGTTGTCTCAGCACAGACATGGAAGGAGGGGACTGGCTTTTGACCTGAAACCTCACATCTGAAACTTCACAGTCCCCACAGGGTAGCTGGTCTGCAGATGACCCTGGCTGAGCTCCGGACCTTTCTGGACCAGATGAACAACCTGCCGTGTGCCATGCACCAGATTGGGGATGTTAAGGTAAGTAGAGGAGGTCTTGGAGTGCTGCTGAGTGCTCACGGGGATTGGGGGACCTGAACAGCAGGCCACGCTTGGCTCCCTTAAAAAGCATCAGTTATTTAGGCAAGACATGTGAGAAAATAATGGGAGATAGGAGGCAAAGGGTCTTGTGACTGTCCCTTAGAAATGGGATTTGAGAGACCGCCGGCAAGGGCATGAGTACAGGATGCAGAGTCAAGGGAAGGTTTTCTGGCGGAGCTAAAAGAGGAAAAGGAGGAAGTAAGGAGGGTGTTTGTGGGCCTGAGAAGCTGAGTCAAGTTCAGAAAGGTAGAGAAGTGGGATGGAGAAGCTGTAGACACTGGTGTGAGTGGAGGGGTTTGTGAGAAGGCGGAGCATGGAGCATGGTGGGTGTCCTGGTGCTGTACATCAGAATCCTCTGGGACTTAAACAAAGCAGAGACTCCTGACTGACCCCCTATTAATCTCTAGGGGTCGGGTCCAGGGATCTGCATTTTTAACAAATTCCCCAGAGTATTCAAATAGGCAGTGAGGGTTAGGAACCACTGGCCATGGTGAAGGAGGAGAGGCCAGCCCATGTTAGGTTCTCTTCCCAAATACTGAAGGGTGAGAAGGTCGGTGGGCAAGGGGATCTGGTGGTGGGACCTCTAAGTGAGCCCAACTGAAGAGTTTGTTCTTCGTCTGTGTCCTGGTAGGGTATTCTGGAACAGGTGGAGGCCTACCAGGCTGAGGCCCGTGAGGCCTTGGCCTCACTGCCCTCCAGCCCAGGGCTACTGCAGTCCTTGTTGGAGAGGGGGCGGCAGCTGGGGGTGGAGGTGCCTGAGGCCCAGCAGCTCCAGCGGCAGGTGGAACAGGCGCGATGGCTGGATGAGGTGAAACGCACGTTGGCTCCCTCAGCCCGAAGGGGCACCCTGGCTGTCATGCGAGGACTGTTGGCCGCAGGTGCCAGCGTAGCACCTAGCCCTGCTGTGGATAAGGCCCGGGCCGAGCTGCAGGAGCTGCTGACCATTGCCGAACGCTGGGAGGAAAAGGCCCACCTCTGCCTGGAGGCCAGGTAAGTCCAGCCTCTTCCCTTCTCCACCCTACCCCACCTTCAGATTTAGTGAAGAAGCTGAAGATGACTCCCATGGGTGGCCTTGGGCACCAGACTCCTGTGTTGGTGTATTGACTCTCCTTCCCTTTTTTTAAAACTCCGTGTACACATAGAAGCAGAGACAAGCTTGTGGGGAAGCAGAGATGGACAGATACAGAGGCTTATAGAAGAGCTCTGCAGCTGACACATGTGCACACACACAAGCATGAGTACCAACAGGCAGATGGACACACGTTGGTAGAAAGACATTACGCACAGGGCAATCTGACAAACTACAGCACAAGAGTAATACCTCAGATTGTGTGTGTAGGCACTGCCAGCAGGCTGACAGACTGGCGGACAAGCTGAGGCACGAGGGCTCTGGCAGAAGTTGGGTGCATACAGTCTGGAGCAAGCAGTGACTGGCAGCCACCCGTAGGCAGAATACATGCAAGTAGGCCCACGTGGCAGCCCCAAGGGCTCACGCCAATATACCTGGTGGCCAGGCTGGGTTTCTGGTCAGGCAGACCACCCCAGACTGAGGCCTCTTTTTCCCTACCTTTAGGCAGAAGCATCCACCAGCCACACTCGAGGCCATAATCCATGAGGCAGAAAACATCCCTGTTCACCTGCCCAACATCCAGGCTCTCAAGGAGGCTCTTGCTAAGGCCCGGGCCTGGATTGCTGATGTGGATGAGATCCAAGTGAGGACCCTGTCGCCCCCCTCCCTCCACCCCAAACCTTCAGTCTAACCAGCAGAGATGACATACATTGGGTTGTGGATTGGCTTGGCTTGGCCAGAGAGGGGCACGGCACATTGTGAAGAGGCAAAATGTGCTTAGTGAGTAGCATGAAGAGGGGTTGCGAGGCTGGCCTGAGAGAAGAGAGGAGGCTGGTGAGAGTGAGAATGGTGGGGGCAGGGAGGGTAGAAGAGGCAAACCACAACAAAATAGCTCGTCTGGTGGTCCTGGGGACTGACTGGATATCTGGGGGCTGAGCCAATGGCTGTAAGAGTTGTGAGGGAGAGCCATGTGGGTGTGCTTGTCTTAGAATGAGCCCTGTTTTATTCTGCCTCAATATTGCGAGTCCAATCCGTCTTCCCAGCTCAGGGCCGGGCATAGAGCATCAGTGGATGTTGGCATGTTGAATTGAGCTTTTTCTTGCCCCTGTCCCAGAATGGTGACCACTACCCCTGCTTGGATGACTTGGAGGGCCTGGTGGCCGTGGGTCGAGACCTACCTGTGGGATTGGAGGAACTGAGACAGCTAGAGCTGCAGGTACTGACAGCGCACTCCTGGAGGGAGAAGGCTTCTAAGACCTTCCTCAAGAAGAACTCATGCTACACGCTCCTGGAGGTGAGGCTGGAACCTGACCCACAGCTTCTCCAGCTTCGGGCCTGGCTGTCGTAGGATGGCTCATATAAGGACATGGGGGTTTAGGGGTGCTGGGGAAGGGAGGAGAGAGGGTGGGTGGCAGGGGAAGCCCATCATCCCTCCTCTCTGTGCCTCCCTCAGGTGCTCTGCCCATGCGCAGATGCCGGCTCAGACAGCACCAAGCGCAGCCGGTGGATGGAGAAGGAGCTGGGGTTGTACAAGTCTGACACAGAGCTGCTGGGGCTATCTGCGCAGGACCTCAGGGACCCAGGCTCTGTGGTAAGGAACTTGGGCCACATGGGGAGAAGAGCCTGGCGACCAGTGTCTGAGCTGGGTGACCACAGGCAGACCACTTGCTTGCTGGGCCTAGTTCTCCTGGTTTGGGGGTGGGGTGTTTATGACACCATACAAGGGAGGCTGACCTCCTCTCCCCTGCCCTGGGCACGGCAGATCGTGGCCTTCAAGGAGGGGGAACAGAAGGAGAAGGAGGGCATCCTGCAGCTACGACGCACCAACTCTGCCAAGCCCAGTCCACTGGCATCATCGACCACGGCTGCCTCTGCAAACTCCATCTGTGTGTGTGGGCAGGTTCCTGCCGGGGTGGGAGCCCTGCAGTGTGACTTGTGTCAGGACTGGTTCCATGGGAGATGTGTGTCGGTACCCCGCCTCCTTAGCTCCCCGAGGCCCAATCCCACCTCATCCCCACTGCTGGCCTGGTGGGAGTGGGACACCAAATTCTTATGTCCGCTGTGTATGCGCTCACGGCGCCCGCGCCTGGAGACCATCCTGGCACTGCTGGTAGCCCTGCAGAGACTGCCCGTGCGGCTGCCCGAGGGTGAGGCCTTACAGTGCCTCACAGAGAGGGCCATCAGCTGGCAAGGTCGTGCCAGGCAGGCTCTGGCCTCTGAGGATGTGACTGCTCTGTTGGGACGGCTGGCTGAACTTCGCCAGCGGCTGCAGGCTGAACCCAGGCCGGAGGAACCCCCTACCTACCCTTCAGCCCCTGCCTCTGATCCTCTCAGAGAAGGCAATGGCAAGGATATGCCCAAGGTGAGCTGCCCATCTATTGTCCTCAAATTTCTGTCACCCAGCTCCCTCCCTGTTTAGGCTCCGGCCCTGTCCCTGATCTCTGACCTTCCATCTCCTTTGGCCCACCCTCCCTGCCCATTCTGTATCTTGTCCAGATTCCTTAGACTGTTCCCTGCTGGTAGTCTGTGTCTGCCCTTCTCCTGGGGCGTTGGGGAGGGAGGAGTGTCGGATTGTGGGGAAGAACAGAGCCTGGTTCTTCAGTCCCCACTCCCCATTCTTGCTCTCCTTAGCAGGCCCAGGGGTTGGAGAACGGAGACAGCGTGACCAGTCCTGAGAAGGTAGCCCTGGGAGAAGGCTCAGGTAAGAGGCAGGTGTAGATGTGGGCAGGCTGTTTATTGGGTATCAGCAGACTTGACCCATGTGGTCGTTGGCTCTGTCGTAGTGGGGAAGTGGTCAGGGGCCGCCTCTAACACAACCCGTCTCTGCAAACCCCCAGACCTGGAGCTGCTGTCGTCACTGTTGCCACAGTTGACTGGCCCCATGTTGGAGCTGCCTGAGGCAACCCGGGCCCCCTTGGAGGAGCTCATGTTGGAGGGGGACCTGCTTGAGGTGACCCTGGATGAAAACCACAGCATCTGGCAGCTGCTGCAGGCTGGGCAGCCTCCAGACCTGGAGCGGATCCGCACACTTCTAGAGGTGAGGAAGGGATTGTGGGCAGGGCCAGGAGGTCAGGCCAAGCAGGCAGGGAGCCCAGGCCTGACCACTGGCCCACGCCTCTTTCTGCCCCTCTGTGATCACAGCTGGAGAAGGCAGAGCGCCATGGGAGCCGGGCCCGGGGCCGGGCGTTGGAGAGGCGGCGGCGGCGGAAGGTGGATCGGGGTGGGGAGGGTGATGACCCAGCCCGAGAGGAGCTAGAGCCAAAGAGGGTCCGGAGCTCTGGGCCAGAGGGCGAGGAGGCCCAGGAGGAGGAGGAGCTGGAGGAGGAGACTGGGGCTGAGGGTCCTCCCCAACCCCTGCCCACCACTGGCAGCCCCAGCACCCAGGAGAACCAGAATGGCTTGGAGCCGGCCCTAGGGGCCAGTTCAGGCTCCTCAGCCCCTTTATCCACTCTGACTCCCCGGCTGCACGTGCCCTGCCCACAGCAGCCACCTCAGCAGCAGTTGTGACAGTGGCTGAGCCTGGCACAGACCCCGACAGAGACCCCCCCTTGGCCTCAAGGATCCTCTTTCTGACCATCAAGCCTGCTTCTTGGGAGGTGGGCAAGTAGGGGGGATGGCCACTCCCCCCCACCCCAGCCCACCCCT